GGGGGGTTGTGTGTGTGCTCAATAACTTGTAAATTTTCTGAAGTCCTAAAGGGACTATTGAATGGAAAGGAAGATACAGCAGAAATCAAGTCTTGCAGAGGGCTAAATGAACTTTTCAAGATTTTCGACCCTATTTGCATGTACTTTATTAGCAAAGGAGTTATCTCGAACAATGAAATTCAGTTTAAGAATTGGCTTAGGCAAATCCTCAAATTATCTACTGTTTATGAACTTCTGTGAAAGCAAAGAGTCCTACCGCATATTGTACTGGTGCCCCGATTTGCAATAGGCATAATTGTCCATTACTTATTTTTTGTTAACAGAATGACACTTTCATTACTCGGTTAGGAGCCAAGGAGGTTAGGCATTATTTTTACCCCATTAAATCCACGAAACTCTAAGGTAATCTCTTTGAAATCTTGGAAGAATTAAGGAAACATGTGATTTATGGTGGAGAGGAAAGTATCTCTCTTTGGAGAGGGGGAAAGGATTAGTGATGAAGAGCTCAGATATTTTTATTTTGGCACTAATAGGGAAATTGGTTCTTGCACATAGAGACATTATCGAGAATAGTGATTGTGGATAGACACAGAATATCAGGCAATGGAAGATGAAGATTTTCAAATGACGGTACGAATTCTCATGGTGTAAGTTTGTGGAAAAAGATTATGATGGAAAAAACATGATTTTACAAAGCTCATCAGGCTCATTGTCAGGACAATGGCCCTTATTGAAAAAATGTATAGAAAAAATGTTGGGTACGACTACCATATACATTTTTGGTTGGATAAGTTGTCTGTAGACCTTGAAGCATGCATATCCTCGTGTGTTTTCCACTTCTAATGATAGATTGAGTAATATATTTGAGTTTATCACGAGAAATATTAGAAAATATTCCAGGAATTATTTTTGAAAGAGCCACCTAGTATTGAGAATGAGAAGAAGTGGTGGAGTTCGTGCAAAGGATTTATAGTTACTAAAGTGTGGGAGATAAGGAGGATAGAATAGAGTGGAGGGCTTTGGATACAACAACAACATCCCAGTATAATCCCACAAGTGGGGTCTGGGGAGGGTAATATGTGCGCAGACCTTACCCCTACCCNATAATGTAGTCAACCGGGACCCCTTTAACCTTTAGGCATCTCCATAGGACCTCCCTAGGAACCCTGTCGTACGCTTTCTCTAGATCGATAAACACCATGTGGAGATCCTTCTTCTTATCTCTGTATTGTTCCATCATCCTCCTAATAAGGTGGATAGCTTCTGTGGTAGATCGCCCCGGCATGAACCCGAACTGGTTATCTGAAATAGACACCGTCCTTTGCACTCTCATTTCTACCACTCTCTCCCAGACTTTTATGGTATGACTCAATAATTTGATACCCCTATAGTTGTTACAGCTCTGAACATCGCCTTTGTTCTTATACAGCGGAACCATTGTACTCCACCTCCACTCTTCAGGCATCTTATTAGTCTTGAATATAACATTAAACAACCCAGTAAGCCATTTCAAGCCTGCTCTACCAACACACCTCCAAAGTTCAACTGGAATTTCGTCTGGCCCGGTAGCTCTGCCCCTCCTCATCTTACGCATTGCCTCCATGACCTCATCGACCTCAATGTCCCTACAATAACTCAATTCATGGGGGTTGTTGGCATTCCTCAATTCACCTAGCGCAATATCCTGATCCCCTTCTTCATTTAGAAGTTTATGAAAGTAGGTCTGTCATCTCCTCTTAATCTGGTCATCCCCCATCAAAACTTTGCCGTCATCATCTTTTATGCACCTCACTTGGTTCAGATCCCGAGCCGTCCTCTCTCTCACCTTAGCGAGTCGGAATAACTTCTTCTCCCCTCCTTTGTTCCCTAGTTCCTCCTACAGACGAGCAAAAGCTGTCGTCTCAGCCTCCATTACTGCCATCTTCGCCTCCTTCCTAGCTACCTTATATCTCTCACTGTTCGCTCTCTTCTCCTCCTCTCCAGAGCTCCCTACGAATTGCAGGTACGCTGCCTTCTTCGCTTCCACTTTATCTTGGACAATTGCATTCCACCACCAGTCTCCTTTGTGGCCACCGGTGCGGCCCGAAGATATCCCTAACACCTCTCTCGCCGCCTTCCTTATACAATCAGCCGTCGTCGACCACATAGTGTTTGCGTCCCCACTACTTCCCAACTACTTCTCCAAGCTCCCATTGCTGATAACCTTCCTTCCAACTCCTGAGTTTTATCCTTAGTCAAGGCGCCCCACCTAATCCTCGGACGGCCTCGTACTGACCTCTTCTTCCTCCTTATCCTAATACCAATGTCCATTACCAAAAGCCTATGTTGCGTTGCTAGGGTCTCACCTGGGATAACTTTGCAATCCTCGCACAACCTTCTGTCGCATCTCCTGAGGAGGAGATAGTCAATCTGAGTCTTCGCCACCGAACTTTTGTAAGTAACCAAATGCTCATCCCGCTTCGGAAAACTTGAGTTCGCAATCACTAGATCGAATGCCTTGGCAAAGTCCAACAGCGAAGTGCCCAGTGGAGGGCTTTGGATACTTGCATATATTGATTAAAATCATATATTATAGACAGGGGGGAACGGGAATCAAGGTGAAAGAAGATACGGATATATAAGTTCTTATCAGAAGAGAAAAGGGAAGATATGGATATAAAAACAGATGTGAACACCTTATTAGTCCCCCCCCCCCCCCAAAAAAAAAAGAAAAAAGATGCTTACACCTTTATGCATTGCAACTCAGTATTTTTATAAACGAGAGGATATGATTCAGTGACTTTTAACATATTTTTCTCTTGGATACTTATAATAATGGATTCTACAAATTGAAGTTGAGTAGGTCAGATACTTTTATACCCAAGGCTAACTGGTGTGGGTCGTTTCTGCTTCTGACAGCTTTAAACTTTCGTGTTCTGTATGCTGTTGGAACGAATGAAAAGTTTTAACAGGAGTTTGTAGCTTTGCTTGCTTCCTCCTTTTTCCTCACTGGGTTGTTGTTGATTCTTAACTCACGGCCTGAGAAATTTGGCAGGTTACACAATTACGAAGTACAGTGGATTATGTCTACTCTCAGGTAATGAGCGTCTTTATTCAATCTCATTTTGGATAAATGTGGAATTTTAGTGTACTCTGGAGTTACCTTACCTGCATTCAGTCTAAGTTCCATGCAACTTGAGCTATTTTCCTTTTGCATGCATAGTCATATTGAGCAAACCTTTGCTTCATTTCTTTGAGGGCCTCTTATCTGGTTTTTTTGTCTTTTTCTAGTAATCGTTGATCGTTGATGTAGCACCAAATAGAAGATGGAAAATCAGGGGAAGGAATGAGAAAAAGAGAAAATGTGAGTAGAAGAGGGGGGGGGGGGGTTAGGAGCGCGAATGGAGCAGGAAGA